TACAGGCTTTCTCTAACTTTATGTTGAATGCATTTTTTTTCCTTTTTTTCCTTTGCTTTTTCGTGTCTCCTTTTCCCCCCTTTAAGGTCTGTATATTGTTTTAAATATATTATTGAATTATTTATAGTTTGTTTATAATCAATACGCTTTTGATTAGAAAGTACAATTAAAATGTATTAAATAATAATCGTATTTGATTTAGTCTTTCTCTTTATTCCCTTAGTATATGATATGCTAAGATAGTAAATGGCACTACAGCAGGGGTGTCAAACTGCCGGCCCACAGGCCGGATGTGTCACGAGGAAACCGTACCCACTCCATTGCCAGCAATAGGGAAAAAGTTCTGATACGTCGCAAGACGTCATGTGACGTCACGAGTTTGACATGTCTGCACTACAGTATCACTCTGTTATAAATGCTTTTGTTGCTCATTTCTCCTAATGGCTTCTGCCCTTGGGTTATAAATTTGCTAGTGCCTAGTCATAAATATATTAGCCATGTATCTGAATCCTTAGGCAAATACAGACAGCCTCATGCCTTCAAGGTCTTTACAATTATAAAACACACAATGACTTCCTGTGTTGGCTGACATTGATGATGATTCCAATCCACAATATCTACTAAAGCAACTTTTCTCCCACCTCCAGATTCTTGAAGTACAGATTTTGAAGTTCAAGGCTGGAGGGGTTCAGATATGGGAGTGCTGCCTTAGAACATTGTTGGACTGATGGTCTACCAAGAACTCTAAAAAAAATGTTTCTAAACCATCAGATGATGTCAAGTTAATGTTGAATTGAATTGAACGAGAACACTAACTCAGGGGGCCCCAACCTCCAGTCCGTGGACTGGTACCGGGCCACGGCATGCCAGCAACCAGGCCACACAAAGAAGCAAAGCCCCATTTGCAGGATGCAAGCAGCACACAAAATCACACCCCCTCTGGTCCACAGAAAAACCTCTCTCCACGTAACCGGTCCTGGTGCCCAAAAAATTAGGGACCTCTGTTATAACTGATATGAAGAATACGAAGAATATTGATGCATTGCTTTAGTCGACCACTTTATTATTTAATTTATTGTTTGCTACTATATTAGACCATTCAGTGGAAATTAGAAACATTCTAATGAGTTCCTTGTCAGTCTCCTACGGTATTAGCTGAACATTTTAACATTCAAAATACTGATTCTTTATTCAGGAACTGACTGACTCAGCAGAACACTCACAGACATGACAGATACATTTTTATATTAGTTTCCCTATTACAGATAAGAATGTAGAATATCTATCTACAGAAATAAATAAGGGCTAAAGCCTATGTATAGGTTGTCTGTTCCAGATTTTAAACCATGTTCAAGTCAGCCATTTTTAACATAAAGATTGCTCCTAGTGTAAAAACCGCTGGTTCCTACTTTCCTCCTACAAGCTTACTCATGTATAAATAATTTATCCCATGAAGTGTGAAATCCTGCTCCCTTTTTCTGAAGCAAGCAGCAAATATATTTATTACTACTGATATTTATAATAATCTAATAATAAACTTTCTCTTCCCAGTATTTCTTTGCACACGTACTTTGGTTGTTTTTGAAAAATAGGATGGATAGCACCTAGGAGAGATTTATATTTGAATACCATACTTGAGAAATGAACCGATTAAGAAAAGGAATAATGTATGAATAGAGCCTTGGAAGGCTTGTCTGCTTTTGGAACAATGATTTGTTTAACATCCTGCAAACACAAAGAATTAGTGCCTAGAAAAACACACACACACACACACACACACACACACACACACACACACACACACAGAGAGAGAGAGAGAGAGAGAGAGAGAGAGAGAGAGAGAGAGAGAGAGAGAGAGAGAGAGAGAGAGAGAGAGAGACTGCCGTAAAGCTCAGTATAACATGTTCTCATTCATAATTCTGTTTTCTTATCATTTGGAAGAGGCTTTCAAATGTGTTTTGTTTAAGAATTTTTCACTGCTAGTAACATGTTGATGGCTTATTTTCTGTTTCTTTAACATTGTCCTTGGATCCTCCTCCCTAAATGTTGATATAGTACTTAGTATTTAGTGGCATTTAGTTGATACTTTTTTGATCCTCTAAGCCAGGGGTCCTCAACCTTGGCAACTTTAAGACTTGTGTACTTCAACTCCCAGAATTCCTCAGCCAGCTTAAAGTCTTAAAGTTGCCAAAGTTGAGGACCCCTGCTCTAAGCCTCAGCTTAGACTCAGAGTAATGTAATGAGTGTTCTATAAAGGAATTGTAGTACAATTGGAATTGTTTTGGTTCTGGGTTTTTGTTTCTTCATTTTGTTAAATCATAAATCAATCTAAGAATTGCTTTGGCTTCTGCTTCATAAAATCTTTTATATAATGAAGTACTTGTTCATATACAATTGGGTACAGAGCAGAACTCAACTCTCTTTTTATGATTACTAAGTTCTCTCTGACTCTGCCATAATATTTTAGTGGCAAAACTGCTAAAGCTATGGTGAATACCAAAATAGAAAAAAAAAAAACAGGGCTTTTTTTTGTCATAGATCGCCCAGAATGGAGTTCCGACACCTTTTTGGGATGGAACCTTGTAGGGTAGGCAAGGCGGGTTGTATGAAGTGTGTGAGTTCCGGCACTTTTTTTTTTTTTTTTTTTACAAAAAAAGCAGTGAAAAAAACACTGTGTACCATAAACTTGGTTTAGCAAAAAATATACTTCCCCTTCCCCCGAACCCTAGAGAAATATCTCAGCTTCTTCTGTGTGCATAATATCACCATATCCACTTGTATATAAAAATGTACAAAATGTCATTATCATTGTCCAGAGTGCTGGGCGAAGACCATGCCCAATAAGTAAAAATTTGAATAGATGACTGTTTGAACAGTTTAGAAATTTAAAAACTTCAGTACAATCCTATCATAAACCTCTTATCTGAGGACTGAATCATGTTTAAAATATAATACCTTGAATGAGTTGCAAAGTGATGGTTTGATACTGGATGTGGAGTCCTGAGAACTCGTAAAACCATCAAATTACTGTCATTAACTTTATATAATCCCAAAGGGATAGGTTGAATGGAATTATTGGTATATGAAAGAGAATCCTCCCCCCCCCCCAAATATTAATTAGCTTGGGTCTCGTTGGCATGAGAAAGCCATTTACCAATGTAAATACACTCTGGATCTTTTGCAGTATTCAGTGCCATGGCTACAAACTGGTGCTCTGATGATGGCTTTGGAGAATTTAAGTATGTGCATACACAATTTCTAATCTTTGTAAACTTATAATGGAAATCTCAATTATTCAGTTACATCCAACTAATCTATAATGTGTACTAGTAGATTAATATCTAATATTGAGTTTATCTAAAAAGACCCAGTCAAAGAAGCTAAAAGCTCTGCAAAAAAATCTTGGTTCAGATGCTTAGAGAAATATATGAGTTTGAAAGACTATGGCATGATAATAAGCAATAAAATGATAGCATATTGTTTTTTAGAGAATTCATCTTCCGGGAAAAATACATTGTTTATAGTGATTTGTTAATGTGCCTTGTTCAAGGAACAGTAGATTTGTGAATTGGTCTGGGCACATTTTATCTTTGAGTTACTATTGTTAATCAGAAATCTAAAAATATCATAGAAAATGAATGTTGCAAAGAAGAATTATAAATATTGTTGTTTTGCATGCAAAAGCAAAACGAACAAAATTTAAGTGTGTTTATAATTAGATAGAAATGTGATTTATTAAAAACTCTCTCTCTCTCTCTCTCTCTCTCTTTCACACACACACACACACACACACACACACACACACACACACACATATGACAGAAAGGCAAACATTGGAAATCTGAATGGCCAGAGGTTGTTTTTTTTTGTCTTTTACTGACTTGAGTGTGTAGCTACAAAGATCCAATTTTTCTTGGAGATATAGAGCTGGCAAGGATTCTTATGCAATTGCCAGAGGATCTTCTCTTAGCTGTATAATTCACAAAAAAAGTTTGCTTCTCCTCATGCTTACTAGAAAGTAGTACCAAGTGTGGAGACCAGAAGGTTTATGGCCTGCTAATAATCAGTTCATATATTAATGCTAGTAATGAATGAATGCTTAGTTTCTATTAACTGAAAATTTTGTAAGATATTAAATAATAAGATACAAACATTCTTACAGTTGTTTGCTTGCAGATGTTTCATTACCAACTAGGTAACATCATCAATATACTGTGAGGTAACTAGGACACTGAGAGCATTCTAAATCAAGCTAAATCCAAAAAGTCTAGGGCACCGGTGTCAAACTCAATCGAGTCACATGACATATCATGACATATTGCGACATTATTTGCCTTTGCGGAGCCGGGATGGCCTGACACATCCAGACCGTGGGCCGCCAGTTTGACACCCCTGTTCTAGGGACTTCCTGTAAACTTGGCATTCAGTTGGTTCAAGTCAGCTGATCAATAATCAGCTGATAATTGGCTAATAATCAGCCAATACGAATCAGCCATCAATAAAGACATAGAGATAAACCATATGTATACCCCATTCAAGAGACAATAGAAATGCTAATAAGAAAACAAAAGGGCCAGGACACATGTCCAACAAGCAGGAATTAACACCAGACAAACAAACAGGCAGAAATCAATACCCTAATCAAGGAACTACTAAAGGAAAAACCACACCCCCACCAACACTGGCAGGGCAAGCTACTGAATATCAGTAGGGAGAAAACCCCACACTCACTAGTACTGATGCTATTACTTAATGGTAATTAAATGGCTGCAAGCAAACAATCAAATTCAGAGAGCACTATAGACTCCACAGCAACAATTGTTTTCAGAAATGTACATCACCAGTCAACCAAGCAGAAATAAAGATTACATCAAGCTCTTGGCCAAGTTGTAAAATATTTCTATTGAGCTTTATCAGGTAGACAAATCTGGGACTTTTGTGACTATTTTTTGACAGAAATTTATTTTATAATCATAAAGCTTTCATTTTTTCTTCCCCAGCAAAAGCAAAATCTAAATGTGGTTCCACTTTCTTCCCATGTTCCAGTGGAATTCATTGTATCATTGGCCGTTTCCGGTGCAATGGTTTTGAGGATTGTCCTGATGGCAGTGATGAAGAAAATTGTAGTAAGTATCTACTACTTAAAGGAGCAAGTTTTATTTTTTAAATACACATACAGTATATTAATCATTTATCCCTTATATGATATTTGTTGCCTGCTTTTGCTATCGAGAAACTGTTGCTGCTGCATTTTGAATGCAAGTTTAAATCTGAAAACTTTCTCCAGTAAGTGTAACATCCTGAGAGTTGCATAGACTCATGAAGGCTATATAGTTATTCAATTAATTCTGGCATATAATTTTTGTCTCTTTTAGCTGCTTTTAAAATGCAGTGTTGTGATCAACTTTGTAAGGCACTTACAACTGATTTTTTTTTTTCAAGATTAAGGTTAGAAAGAGCAGGTGAAGATCAGAACAAGCATCCCTAATGAATAAAAAGTGCATTTAAAAAAAAGTTGTTGCAGGTTGCTCTCTATGTTATTGTGCTGTTATGTTTATTTTTTGTTGTTGTTATCTTTCATCCTAGTTTAGATTTAAGATTTCATATATCTACAAGTGCAAAATGTGTTAACGTTGCTTTTTGACCTTATCAATAATATATATTGCTTAGCTTTCCAGATTCACTACAAGCACGGGAAAGCTCTTTTCTGTCCTTTGCATCATCTCTACCATTGCCTGAAGGCTATGTCTAAAAGAAATATTGCATTAAGGTTGATAAATATTGAAAACTCTCCGTTGGAAGACTTGATTAATTTCATTTATATTCTTTTGTTATCTCAGTATGGTTGGAGGTAGGGGTGGGTTCTCCTATTTTTATCCCACAGAAATAATCCTGTTAGGTAAATTGGGATGGGAATCCAGTGAACTTGAGGACAAGGTTTGAATCCCCTCTTCCCTATCCAAGTCCAGTGTGTCAGCTACATTTTACTGGGAAGAATCCAATAAAATGAAAGCCATTTAACACATTGAATGTAATAATACTACAACATTTGCATCTAAATTCCAATAAAAGTATGAAATCTTTTTGTGGAAGCTCTGTATGTAATAAACACGGTAAACAGAATTAGGAAAACTGATGGAAACATGAAACACCTGTTATTTAATGGGGAACTGATACAGAAAGCAAGGCTTCCAGCTGTTAGCTCTCCAGTTCCAATGAATTCTTAAGATGAGGTTAGCATACTATCATGATTTTTTTAGTTACAGCCTTCTCTCATTTTCTGATAAGGAGGAAGTTACAAAAGAAAAACTTTCATTGCTATGTTCTTTCCTGCAGCTAGTTATAAAAGTTATATTTGTGCAGGTGGTTGAATAGATCTCATAATGCTGTGCCCTAAATAATTGTGCACTGCAGCTGTAAGGGGGGAAAAGGTAGAGTGGTTGACTGTGATTTAGTCACATTTAATATTTTGGTGACAGAATCTCTTGCTAAAGGAGAGCACAGAGTTGCTTCTTTAAAAAAACATTAGATGACAGTACTTTTTTTTTTTTGTAAGTTAACAAGAGGAACCAAGAGTTCTGCAGTAATCTTTAGTGGATGTGTGAAACATTCCACAACTCATTTCAACTTCAGTACGGTTGTTCTATATGGTCAGGATGTTCTCACCATTCTGGTAGTGTTCTGAGTGTCTCCATTTTGAACTTATACAGTACAATATAATATCTCCATTGCTCTGTTTTTTATCAGCAATATTACTATGACAGCTATACCATATTATACCATATTATGAAATATACTTCTGAAGGGTCAGAACATACTTTCCCTTCATTTGTATTCATGAAACCTTTTTCCAATGACTTTTAGCTTCAGCTGCTTTGATTCATGGATGTTCTCTAATAAGTTTATTACTATTTGCAAATATGGTTTATTTTTACGCTGTCAGGTACTAGAAAATGCCATATGATTGGATTGGTTAACAAATACAATTAATTAAAAACCAAGAGTCTGTGGAACTAACAATTACAACATTGAAGTGCCTCTGCTTACAATCTGTGAGGACAGTGAGTATTGAGTGAAAGTTTTAAGGTAAAAGTTATAAAGCTGTCATAAAACTAATAACTAAAAAAACCTATAGGTTAACAAAAATTAAATATTAGTTAAAATTCAGGAGATGAGTAAAATATAGTGAGATAATATACTACCCAAGGAAAAATAAAATTAAAATTAAATTGAGCAATTTAAGGTACAAAATTGACAACTAGAGACAGCAATATAATAGTTGGGCATGTGTCACACCTGCTTAACTGGCAATCAATATCTGGTGAATGTTATATGCTTGTAAAGCTTGACTGCTTTTTAAGTTAGGTTTTTAAGAGAGACAGAGAAGAGTAGGATGATGTTAATTTGATCTGATGTAAGTTTGAGCTGTGTAACCTGGTAATTTGGTAAATAGTAGAAGAATAACAGTACTGTGCATGTTTCTGTAAAATGAACAGGGAAAGGAGCAGGGCAAGCTATTTCAAGCTTAAAACATTTTCGTACCCTTTTGAATGCAGAGCAAATGTCCTGACTGCATACCCAGCAATCTGAGTTTAAATCATCTGGAATTTGAAACACTTTGCTATCCTCAGTAATAGTTCCTTACATCTCTCATTTTACCATTCATTCATTCATTCATTCATTCATTCATTTACTTATTTTGCAGTTTCCAGAGCCAAAGTCAGAAGCGAGGGTGGAATCATAGTTAGCCCATGGTCCACAAAACTCATGGGTCAGTTGAATCATTTGGCCCAGATTCAGAGTGACACAGTTTCAGGAGCATAAGAGTTAAGATTTCAGCGTGGGTGAGCAATTGTTTCGAATGAGGGATACCAGACTAGCAGTGGATCTTAAATATATGCCATGCTGGTGAAACTAATGAAAACTGGGAATGCCCTTGACATGTAAGGAGGCATGTCAAATACCACTGATGTGTTCTCTGACAGTAGGCACAGCTGCTTCTGATGACTGCCAGGTGAATCAACCTCAGATGTTTGAATTTTCTGAGCTTCTTCAGGCCAATCCAGAACAGACTCCTCAAAGTCCTCTAAGTTAGACCTGGTCATGACAGAAGCTTCCAGAAGAGAAAGAAAAAAATGGGGATAGGGACACAAACCTGGGGTTTGACAAATCTTCAGGGGTAACAGGTATCTCTTCTTACGAAAGGTCCATTACATTGAAGTTTTGTGGTTCCAGTATAGGTAAAAATAAAAATTGCTATTACTGAATATTTTGCTTTCCAAAAAACCAAATTGAATAGTAAATCAGTTTTTGTCTGATGTTGTCTGCATGAAGTGTCAGTTTCCTAAGCACAATAATTGTATAATGGAAAATTCACTTCTCCTGAAACTTGAAATAATTTCACGCATTTGACATATACTAAGATAAATAACGACATGGAGGATGAAAACAGAAAACAACTTTCCATCTTATTTCTTTCTATATTAAAAGATGTGATCTACTTTTCTATGAAGCAATGTCAATCTCAGAATGCTTCTATAAGACCAAGATGTCCTGCTTTGGAATCGGGCTGCATCGCTTAACAATCCTAAAACTGCAGGAACTTTGAAGGCTGTTAAAGGGCCCAGGCCATATTGCTTGCTAGTGTTTCAATTCTATATATTGCCAAACAAATTATATAGGTTAGTCACAAAAAGAGTCATTACAGATTAACATTTAAAATATTTATTATATTCAATGTGGAAGCTATCACATGTAGAATTAGGATCTCCTCTACAGATAACTGTACTATAAGCTTGGAGAGTGGCTTTTCATTGAGATCAAGAGTGAGTAGAAGAGAACAGTGGCTGTTTACCACTGCTATACACATCTTTCTGGAAAGCCAGTTTAGTGTAATTGTTAAGACATCAGCCTAGAAACCAAGAGACTGTGAGACTGGCTGACTTTGGGTGAATCAGACCTTCTCAACCCTAGGAAAAAGACAGTGGTAAAACACTTCCAAAATCTTGCCAAGAAAAGAAGGGACTTATCCAGACTGTCACCAGGAGTCAAGACTGACTTGAAGGTGCGCGGATACATACATCTTTGTAGCCCCCGAACAGCTGAAATGTTTTCACTCTAGGAGAAAGTGGTATGAATGCATATGTGCCTCTATATACAAAAGAAAATGCTAATATAAATTCAGCCTTTGGACTGTTTTAAAGCAGACTTAAACTAGTATGGAAGAATATAATATATGGTTTTCCATATATAGTTGGAATGGGTGCTTAGTTGCATAATTTCCCATTCTTCAGTAGGAAATTGTTCTATATTTAAAATTCCTCTTATGGCTCTTTTAGCTAAGACTTTGGTTTAATAGTTATCAAACATGCCTTGGATTTTTGAAGTATATCACCATACAGTTCTTACTTGGAGGCATTAGTCTTTCTGAAGTCTTTTAACCATAGCATTTATCTTTAAATCATTTTACAGACAAAAAGTACCTTTCTTTTTACTAAATCACTATCTAACACAACTTAAGACATCTATTTCTAGAGGTTACAGATTTAGCATCACACATCATTTACACATTCAACTCACTGACACATTTCTACATCAAGGTTTGTCTTAACAGGTCTGTCTGAATCACGTGCAAGTAAGAAGGAAGTGTGCTATTAATATCAAATAGAACCTGGGCCTTCAGTATCTTCCTCCTTTTACAGTTTTATGAATACGTATTCATGTATCCACTTACACAATGACTTTCTTCAGTATTTTCTTAACTTCTGTGTCATTTTCCAGAGGTCTACCTTAAACAACAAGGAATTTATGTCTCTAATGCTCTTAAGCTTATTCTTTCTGGCTCAGAGTTCCCCTGAAACAATATCCCTAGAAACTGTGGTTACAGTTAGGGTCAAGTATGAGGTTGCTTTCTGTCAAATTACCTTTTTGTCTTTTCACAGAAATATTTCATTTGCCAAATCCTTTAGACATTTTCTATCTTTGATTCATTAATACACGAGCCAAATTAGACTGTCCTCTCACAATTCATCTGCTTCTAAACTGTGATACTGGATGCACTACTGTGTTCGGGAGAAAGAAAAATCTCTCAGCTAACAATTTAAAGCACAGATGGTATAGAAGTGCTCTTGGGAATAATGTCTATCAAAGAGATATTGCAAGTTTGAATAAAATATGCTTTTGTTTCCACAGCAGCAAATCCTTTGCTGTGTTCTACTGACCGGTTTCACTGTAGGAATGGCCTGTGCATTGATAAAAGCTTTATGTGTGACAATCAAAATAACTGCCAGGACAACAGTGACGAAGAAAGCTGTGGAAACTCTCATGGTAAGTATGAAATTTAAAACATAGTTTTCACATTTAATTAACATTGTGCCATTGGTGGGTGTTTTTTTTTTGTTTTGTTTTGTTTTTGGCCTATATTGGAACTGTGAAGTCTTTTGTATTATACAAATAGCATTAAGAAGTTTCTGAACAGGGAAGTCTTGTATATCTGCATTATTTTTAATTTAATTTCTAAAATGGGTATGTCCAGCCCACAGGCCACATGCAGCCCCACAAGATCATAACAAAATGCAATTCAGTGGTGAAAAAACTAAGGTTATACATTTAGGCAAGAAAAACCAAATGCACAGGTATAGTATAGGTGGTACCTTGCTCAATAGTAGTAACTGTGAGTGGGATCTTGGAGTCCTAGTGGACAATCACTTAAATATGGGCCAGAGGTTTGCTGCAGCTGCCAAAAAAGCCAATGCAGTGCTAGGCTGTATTAACAGAGGGATAGAATCAAGATCACGTGAAGTGTTAATACCACTTTACAATGCCTTGGTAAGGCCACTTAGGTCACCATGATGTAAAAAAGATGTTGAGACTCTAGAAAGAGTACAGAGAAGAGCAACAAAGATAATTAGGGAGGTGGAGGCTAAATCATATAAGGAATGGTTGCTGGAATTGGATATGTCTAGTTTAATGAAGAAAAGGACGAGGGGTGACATGATAGCAGTGTTTCAATATCTCAGGGGTTGCCACAAAGAAGAGGGAGTCAAGCTATTCTCCAAAGCACCTGAGGGCAGGACAAGAAGCAATGGATGGAAACTAATCAAAGAAAGAAGCAACCTAGAATTAAGGAGAAATTTTCTGACAGTTAGAACAATTAATCAATGGAATAACCTGCCTCCAGAAGCTGTGAATGCTCCAACACTGGAAGTTTTTAAGAAGAGACTGGACAGCCATTTGTCTGAAATGATATAGGGTTTCCTGCCTGAGCAGGGGGTTGGACTAGATGACCTCAAAGGTCCCTTCCAATATTGTTGTTATTATTATTATTATTTACAGTAACTATATTATTTATATGTGGCCCAAGAAAATTCCTCTTCACTCAATATGGCCTTGGTAAGCCAAAAGGTTGGAAAGCCATGTTGTAAAGTATGGGGTGATTGCTTTGGGGAGAAAAGACAACCTTAAATAATTTTTGATTATGATTGTTATAGTTTGGGGTCAGTAGATTTTATGTATCCCTTTTTAAAAGTAAAATATATACCCTTTTTGAAAACAGTAACAATTGTAGCTGCAAGGACTACAAGAGTTGAGGTAAGATGGGTGGTCTATAATTTTATATATAAAAAAACAAATAAATAAATAAATTGACATTCTTCTTATCCTAGCAATACTTAAAGGAATAATAAAATACCTCCGTTTGTAGAAGTAATATACTGTATTGTAGTCCTGGATATGTTTGTTTTTATAGCATTTTAGCAGTTTTGTAAGTGTTACAGGTAGGGAGATTACAAAATGTTCCAGTTTCAAACATCAGTTTCAAGTATATCAGAGTTGATCAGCATTCATGGTTATAGGTATTGTTAGCTCAGAGACTTGATGTGAGTGGAAAACGCCTGGAAAGAACTGGGGATTTCATACATACTGTACAATCATACTGAGAAAGAAATGAGAAAATGGAAAGTTTGGAATTTGAAAGGAGAGGACAAGATGCAGTCTTATTAATTTTGCACACAAGATACAGAAATGCCCAGATTTATATGGATTCTTCTCTATCATTCTGAAAAATAACCACTGCCTATTTTTTATTGCGGACAGAAATATATCGACATTTTCGAACAATCTTATAACAAGATGATTTTTAATTTACTAAAGGTCTAGTTTAAGATCTTGAACTTGATTATCTAGTATTTGATTTTATGTAGCACAGGATTTAAAAAAGAGTTTAAATTCTAGCTAGTCTAACTTTTTTCCAGTTAGAGTACACAGCTTAAGAGATTTATATTACCTCCATTTATATAGACAATCAGATTCTTATATCTATACACAAAGGTTTATACACAAAGTTTGATACAGTAAAGGGCAATGATAAGAAGGAAGCTTATTCCATAACTTCTTAAATAACTAAATAAATATTTATATCATTCTGACAAGTGATTGAAATCTTAATAGCAATAGCATTTAGACTTATATATCGTTTCACAGTGCTTTACAGCCCTCTCTAAGTGGTTTACAGAGTCAGCCTATTACCCACAACAATCTGGGTCCTCATTTTACTGACCTTGGAAGGATGGAAGACTTAGTCAACCTTGAGCTGGTGAGAATCGAACTGCTGGCAGTGAACAGTGAGTTAGCCTGCAGCACTGCATTCTAGCCACTGCCCCACCATGGCTCCTTTATTAAGAATAAATGATATAAGGATAAAGGATAAATTAAATAATATCTTCCTCTATTCCAAGCCCTTTATTTATTTAGGCTACATTGTAATGCTAGACGATATACACTATTAAAAAAATTAAATATACAGACAAAAGGGCAACAGGCACTGAGATAAAATCTTCCAACAGTATCTAACAAGAACCATTTTAATCACAAAGAGTCCAGTGTCAACTCTTAACATCAAGCTTAGGCAATGAGCCATGTTAAGGACTCTCTTAAACAAGGTCATGTTGGGTCCAAAAAAATCTGTAGGGTGGCATTGTTCCAGAAACCGGGGGCTGCAACAAAGAAAGTATATTTTCTAGGTCCCATTAGATAACATTGTTTAATGGATGGGACCTGGAGTATGTTGACTCTGCCTGACGACAGAATGGACAGAAACTATAGCATACAGATGTCGGATAGTACAATTGTTTTGCTTAGGTTTTTTTAAAAGTAGTTTTCAATATAGTAATCAGTGCTAAATGTAAAGGAAGATAATTATTATAACCTTGCAAAGATAATTTTATGAGTATTTTGAAAATCCACCCCTCGCTCATCCCAGCATAGATTGTGGAGGCAACATAAGAATTTGTTATAAAAATGAAACCATTCAATTAGTATAGGAATTTAGATTTCTATTTGTGGTTTGTACCGTTGTATTATGAATAAATTATAATCACATTTCCTAGGAATTATTAACAATAAATCAATGAGCTTAAATAAATCAATTATTAGCTTAAAAATCAATGAGATGCTATGGAAAGAACAGTTTCTGTCTCTATGGAATCTTTCAGTTATTGCTACTTTTACTGCAAGAATATACTAATGACAGTTACTTGAATGGATACCGTTTCAATGTCACTTACTTTTCTCATTTTTACTTTTCTCTAATATATACTGCTCAAAAAAATAAAGGGAGCACAAACATATAGGATCCTATACGTTCGTGTTCCCTTTATTTTTGTGAGCAGTATATTAACAATGTCCTTTCTAATTTCTAATTTTGTTTTGCCTAAAACAAAATATTCTTTTCGGAAGAATATATCACAGCTCAGAAGTAGATATTTTACTGCCTTTTATTAATAAATCATATTTTATGTTACTTTTGGACATATATTATTAGATAATACATTCCAAAAAGCCCCTCTGTTATATCCTACAGATGATTTTATTTAGAAAGAATCTTTATACTTGGTGTCATATTTGGGAGATAGGTTAAACTATTATACATTTCTATTTTTCACTTTCTTTTTTCAAATCTATTTATCTGTAAAATATTTTTGCATTATCTTGGGATTCTCTTTGTCTTCCCAAGAACCTCACATTATACTTTCAAACTGTTTCCTTAATCTTATCATGTATTCAATAACTACATCCTGATGTCTTGGATATTTACCAAATGTAGATTATTTTAAAACAATCTTTCAAATAAACACTATAACAAGATGCTATTATAACTTTTTCTGGTGGGATTCTATGTGTATATGTTTCTTAAAAACACTTATTTCGTTCTTTTGGTTACGGTAAACACATTTTAATTTTATTGTCTTGTATGTTCCTTAACTGACTGATTCTTGCAATCTGCTGAGGCATGGTAACATCTCAATAAAGCTATTATTAGTTTAAGGGAAGCATTGTTGATCTTCAAGCCTCATTAATTGTTGTTTTACATTTTTTGTTACTATGCATTTTCCTCTTGATTAGCTTCTTATTTTTCTCCTCAATTTTTTTCTCAAATTTGTCTGCGCTATTAAACCTATTGTTCTACTGAGACTGCTCTCTCATCTCCACTGTCAATCTTCTGTTTATAATAAAACTTCAATTCCGTAAGGTAGAAGAGATAAAATGATCCATTAAAAGATATACAGTATGATGGCATTTGAGCCAGTAGTTGTCTGGGCTCCTGCTAATAGGAAAAAAAATATCAGATAAGGCTTTGTAAAGCGCCACCAAGTGAAATGCATATTATTTGGTTAGGTAAGTCATTCTGCTTTTATTTCCAATTTGGTTTCACAAATGCACTGGAAGTTTCCTATCTCTGACATCAACATTGTGCTTTCAATCTGAAATATTCTTCCCTCCTATTACTCATGGGTTCACTGTTTGTGATCATGCTTTATCATAACAGAGATGAAATAAAAAATCATAATGATTATATAAAGCCTTTTTTATCCTAAACCTTGGCCATTTAAATACCAGTTCCTTCCCTCCCTCCCTTGTTACTGCCCATCTTATTCTTTATCAAACTATAATAACATAATGGATAAAGGTCCTCTAATGGATTAGTAATTACTAAATAGTTGGAAGCAAAGAATAGAAAAACAAGCAGAAACCTTACAAAAAGTAAGACTGGCTTATAGTCTATTTTCACCCTCACTGAGGTATACCAATTAGAGTGGTTTTTTTCAAAATATCTTTTCCACTTGGACAAATATAAAGGTAGTCCTCATTTAATGACTGAATGAAATTATAATGGACTCTCCAAAAGGTTAATTATGACCCTATTCCAGTGTTTTGATGGTGGCTTGGCAATTGACTCACCTTTATGGCTAGTTGCAGTGTTCTCCAGTCATGTGACCACAATTTGCAATGTTTTTTGCTGGTTTCTGGCAAAAAGCATCCATAAGAGA